ATACATATATATGATTTTAGTAGGTGTCTTGTCATAGCCTCGTCACTGCCTCGTGGGGATTAAGCTCCATACTTAGGAGTACATTTGGCCGGTTGTACTATGCTACACTTCTGCACTTCTTGTGCAGATACTGGTGTTGGTCCCGGTAGTGTCTAGTGGTGCTTCAGCTCGGATCATATTTTTAGCAGAGACTAGGTAGAGCTGCTGACGTTCGCAGCTCCTGAAGTACCCTTCTATTTCTGTCTTTACTGTTTATTTTTTTCCTAACAGTTGTACTTTGTTCAAACCATATTTGTAGTATTCTAGTTGCTCATGTACTGGTGACTCCAGGTTTTCTGGGATTAGACTAGACCGTGTTATGATATGGGTTTATCTTATTTATTATAACTTTATTAATCTTTAATAATTGTTATTACTTGGTTTTAAATTGTCAAAATGGTTAATCAGTTATCTAATGTTGGCTTGCCTAGCAAGTAGATGTTAGGCGTCGTCACGATTCCGATATTGCGAATCTGGGTCATGGCAATTGCATAATACACTAATTTGCAAGATTATAAAAATAATTTTGTGTCTTTCAAAATTGTATCATACGTAAATTTATTATGTATTTCAACTTGTTACTCGAATTACTCAGTCATAAAATTGGTAAGACTTGTTTTTTACGAAGTCTAATTATTTCAATATACTAACTAAAATAAAATTAGTTAATGCCAGCGTAAGATATTAAATGTTTTAATTCTTTTTTGGAATTATTAACTATTTCAAATAAGAATGTTTACCATAATAGAAAGCACATAATCTATATTATGTTATAAATATCATATTGTTATTGCTTTTGACCGAACCATCTTAGATTCAATCGAACAAAATGACCAACAATCAAAGTAGAATTAATAAAATTATATGTACCTTATAGCAGGACAGAAATATACTCATCTTGACTGGATGATAAAGTACTAGTGATTCGAAGAGAGTAGTAAGAACATAGAAAACTCTAATACATGAAGGAGTTTTGAAGCCTATAATATTGGACGACAAAAGAGAATACTATTTTTAATTTATATTATATTTTTTAGTTATTTATATCGCCTTTATTAAAGACATCACATGTATCTAATAAACTTTTGTTATTCATCTTTGCAGTTCAAACGACATCAAATCATTTTGATCTCGACAAATAAGTGATTATATAATGATTCATATCATTCATTTAGAAAAACTTGTACCTTATACTTTCATATATAATTATTTACTCAAAATTATAATTATTGTACAATGTAAAATAACATAACTCGACACGTGTTGAGAAACTAGTTACCAAAAAAGTAGTATACGAGGTAAATTATTATATACAAGGTAGGGTAAAGCATAAAATATGATATTTAATAATAAAAAAGGGTAAATGAGATGGGGGGAGGGGGGGGGAATAATGATATGACCACACCAAATTAGTCGTTACATAAAGTAGCACTTTTCTTCGTTAGTAACAACGAATTTAACGATATGATACAATAAAATTTTAGTAACGATAAAAATAAATATTATATTTAAATTATGCCTTGCAATTCTATACTCTACTTGTATCTCAAACTCTGTTTCCTTGAAGGGAAGGGTCCAGATATTTACAGAGGGAAGGCTTCCAGAATGTTTGCGAAGCTAGCAGAACCACATTGGATGCTGTTCTTTCTACGCGATCCAGAATATTCAAGAGCCCCCTTTCCCATTCTATATATCCTCTGGTTAAACAACGCCCATAGGCAGTATTCACAGCACACATCCATAAAAAATAGTTGGATTTTAAACTTGATAAGCAGTATTTGTGCAGTACTATATTGCTAACGATTAAGGAATGTCGTTATCGTCACAATTGCTACTGGATCATCCATTGCTATTTGGGTTGAGGGAAGCTTCAGGCTACTGCGACATGGATTGGAAAGAGACACCTGAAGCCCATATTTTCAAGTTTGACCTTCCAGGTCTCACAAAAGAGGACGTGAAATTGGAGCTGCACAACGACAGAGTAGTCCGCTTAATTACACAGGGGAAAAATGAAAACAATAGTAATAATACTGGCGTTAGGTGGCACTGCAAGGAACGCACAGAGATAGGGAATTTGTGTAGGAAGTTTCGATTACCGGATGATGCTTTGGTGCACCAGATTAAAGCTTCCATGCGTGACGGAGTCCTGGTAGTGACGGTGCTTAAAGATCAGCGCAAGTTTAAAAAGAATAAGCACAATAAAATTGTTGACATCTGCACTTGTGATGATGACGCAAATGCTTCTCCTAATTCCCCCAAAGGAATTTCTCGCTTCTTTTGTTACAGAGCTTGATTGGTTTAATTTGTCAGACCTTAGTCCATGTGTAACAATAGTAACTGCTTCTACTTCTAAATGATATTGTGAACGGACATACACGATAAACATAAATGATACAGTTGTAAATTGTATATAAGGTCTAAACTATTTCGACATACAAGATAGTACAATATAGTCCCTCCTCATAAAATAAACCTTTATTTTTAATCTTCTATCCATTTTTTCTCCCTAAAATACTAAAGTCCAAGGTCATGATTTTTCATCATCGTTGATGTCTAGACCTCTCTTTAGATGTTTCATCTACCATTGTTGAGCTCTAGATTTTCCTTTGCACTACATTTCACAATATCCTATCGAGTTTGGTCATCCTCAACCTCTTTCTGACAACATCAATGAATCCCTAATCTAACAGTTGGAATTTGACGGGCAGAGAGAGAGAGAGAGAAAATCTTAGTTCAATTGTATTTCTGCAGAAAATGAAAAACTGAATTACAAAGAGAAGCATACACCTATATATACATGCTAACTATTTGACCAACACCGTTTAACCTGCTAAACGACTAACTCAGCTGACTCAGCAAGTTTGAGGCAGAGACAAATTGTAGTTTATCGAGTTTGTGTAATATGTACGAGTAGTTATTTCCTTTACATCCTCCTCGAGCTAAGAGCCATAATGTAACGAGCTAACCGGTCTTTTTGAACATTGACATTGCATTATGAAATTTGAGGTTTTGAGTAGCTTCATATGTTATATTATGATTTGCTCTTTTAAAATTATAGTCAATTAAAAGAGTTATTTGTATTAAAACTTTTGCGTAGTAAAAATACTGGAGTTTTTGAACAAATTCACCTTCCACATAATCAATAGCTCCTAGTAATTTAATTACTAACAACCTTCTTTATAAGATGTACCTATCCCATCTTCTTTTTCAGTAATATCAATACCGAATTCTTTATGAATCTCAGGGTTAGAATTTTCTAATTGTGTGTACGGTTGGTTTCGATGTTCGAGAAATTCGAGGTTGATTTAGAAGAGAAACTTTTATTTTTGAAGGCTTAACGTTGAAGAGTTGATCAAGGTTTCACTTTTTTAAACGGTCTCAGATTCGTGTTTTGATGGTTCCAATAGGTTCCTATGGTGATTTTGGACCTAAGCGTACGTCCGAACTTTTATTTGGATGTTTCTAGAAGGTTTTGGCCTATTTTGTGAAAGTTGGATTTGAAGGTTTAAAAAGTTCTTAGATTTGACTTCGTAGTTGACTTCGATGTCATCATGTTCGGATTGTTGTTCTGGTAGGTAGGCGAGGTTCGTTATGTCATTTGGAACTCGTGTGCACAATTTGAGGTGATTTGAATTGGTTAGACGTGGTTCAGCATGAGTTGTAAAAGTTGGAAGTTTTATTAATTCATCAAGCTTGAATCAAGGTATGATTTGTAGTTTTGATGTTGTGTTGAGTGATTTGAGACCTCGAGTAGGTCCGTGTAATATATTTGGACTTGTTAGTATGATTTGACGGGGTCCTACGGGGCCTCCGGTGTGATTCGGGGTAGTTCCAGACCATTTTTGTTATGTTTGGAGCTGCTGGTTTCTAAGGACTCATATGTTCTTCGCCACCGCGAAGGTGTTGACGCGATCAGGTAATGTATGTTGGGAGTTGTGGCTTTGTTAATCGCGTTCACTACAAGGTATCACGTTGTGAAGGGTCCGTGCTTGTAGGCCTTTCCACTCGCGTGGATGTGGTGGGTTTGGGTAGGGATGAGTTGAGCAGTGGTAATTTTGTCTCTCGCATTCGTGATGTTGAAGCTAATTGTTTTCTGCGATTGCGATTAGTCTAGTGCAATTGCGTAGTTGGTTCTGAGGGCGGTCGTGATTCTGTGCTTCTCGATAGCGTGGCTATTGGTTGCGATCGTTAAGAGTACTCCTGGACCAGATCTATAAGTCATTATATTGAGGGTATTGCTCATTTTATCACATTTTGAGATTGGGAGCTCGAATTGAGGATATTTTTCAGGCGATTTTTACTCACTAGGATTGGATAAGTGTTCTTGACTCGAATTAATTATTTTTCATGATTCCATCTTTGATTTTGGCATTTGAGTGGTGAATCCAAAAGAAGAACTTAGGGGTTTTTGGCAAACTTTTCTAAAGTGAATAAATGGGTTTTGAACACCAATTTGGAGTCACATTTGGATGAAACCTATATGGTTGGGCTCGTATTTGAATGTGTTATCGGAATTTGTGAGTTTTATCTTGTTCCACAATACAGACCCAGAGTTTACTTTTGGGTTGACTTTGAGTATTTGATTAAAGATTCGATCTTTATCGCTTGAGTTTGATTCATATGGCATTTGTTGTTGTTATTGAGTAGTTTTTGGCAAGATTCGAGCCGTTCAAGGGTCGATTTACACGGTAAAGCATTTTTAGATTATTGATTTGACTTGATTGAGGTAAGTATCTTGCCTAACCTTGTGTGGGGGAATAACCCTTATGATTTGACCTTTATTGCTTATTTGTGTTATGTGAAAAGTGACATGTATACGAGGTGATGAGCGTGTACACGGGTGCTACGTTTAGCTTGTGACTGGATTAGACCTTAGGTTATTAATATGCCTTAATTTGGAGATGTATTGTATATGAAACATGTTTTATCACTTTGTGGCTATGTGAACATGACCACTATACTTGTTTTAGACGTAGTAATGCTTTATTTTTCAAATACTCATTCACATTTTACTATTTTTCACATTCTTGTGCACTTTGTTAATAAATTATGAACGCATATCCGTGATGAAAACTTTGGCATTATTGTTTGATGATTATTATGTCACACGTGGACATGATGAGCGGATTGTTTGTTGTGCGAGTGTGATTTTATTATGGCACGAGATATTTGTCGTGCGAGCACGAGGTCTTTGCCAGGCGAATGTAATTATATTGTGGCATGAGGTCTTTGTCGTACGAGCATGAGGTCTTTGTTTTGCAAGTGTGATTGATACTGGCACGAGGACTTTGCCGTGCGAGTGTGACAGATAATATGGGTATGAGTCACCATGTGTATGTGTTTCGTTTTTAAGACTTGTTGTTGACGTTGAGTTGTTACTTGAATTTAATTGTTATCACTTGTCCTAAGGAGCTTACTGTTATTGTTTCTGTTATACTTATTGTTGCCGTGCGAGTGTGATTTTATTATGGCACGAGATATTTGTCGTACGAGCACGAGGTCTTTGCCAGGCGAATGTAATTAAATTGTGGCATGAGGTCTTTGCCGTACGAGAATGAGGTCTTTGTTTTGCGAGTGTGATTGATACTGGCACGAGGTCTTTGCCGTGCAAGTGTGACAGATAATATGGGTATAAGTCACCATGTGTATGTGTTCCGTTTTTATGACTTGTTGTTGACGTTGAGTTGTTACTTGCATTTAATTGTTATCACTTGTCCTAAGGAGCTTACTGTTATTGTTTCTGTTATACTTATTGTTGCCATCCTTTGATATATTGCATAGGTTATTTGACTAGTGAGTATGACATGACTTGAACCTCGTCACTATTTCACCGAGGATAGTTTTGATACTTACTGGGTATCGACCATGGTATATTCATAATATAATTTTGCACTGTGCATTCAGATTCTTGGAGCTAAGCTGTATTGGATGACAAAGGCATTCATTAATGTTGTAGTAACATCCCAGATTTGAGCTACCACTTGTTCATGGTAGATTAGGACATCATTTTTGCTTATATAATCTTCAAATAGATGTTGTACTTATTTCTTTTAGTATCTTTGTAAATCCAAATCATAATGTCTTATGACTTGTACTAACCGTCCTTGGGGTAGTTGTATTGAATTGTTTTGCAGTTTTATTAATAATAACGATGATTTCTTATTATAGTAGCGACTTATACTAATTGGCTTACCTAGTGGATTTGTGTTAAGTGCCATCATGACTTGGTAGGGTTTTGGGTCGTGACAAGTTGATATCAAAGATCTAGGTTCATAGGTTCTACGAGTCTTAAGCAAGTATCTAGTAGAGTCTCACGGATCAGTATGATGACGTCCATACTTATCTTCGAGAGGCTACAGGGCATCTAGGAAACTTTCTATTTTTCGTTCCTTATCGTGCAACTTAATTTCATCTTGACGCTTATATCCCAGTTTATTTCTATTCAAGTGTACATGATGTTCAGTACTTGGTATCATCTGTGCACCAACGACTTGGGATGTCGAGGATGAGGTGAAAAATGGTTTTTCCATGTTGTGAAGATAGGGACCTGAGGCCAGGTTTAGACTTCAGCATGGGTTCGATAGTTTCTGTTGTGTGAGTGTGTGCATTTGGACTAATTTGTCCAGTAGTGTCTTCAGAAGTGGGATCGATGGCTCACTGAGTTGCGAGATATCTATGTGATGAGTATTATGTGACTAAGGACTATGCCTACATGGTTTGATTTCATGGGAGGGATTTGTTTGTGATGCAAAGGGCTATGGATTACTTGATTTTTTGTCTTGATGTTACAGTCTCGTGTTATGAGTGTGGTGAGGGGTCTTTAAGCTGTTCATATCAAATGAAGTATATTCTTATGTCTTGTTGAGTGGCTTCGAGCTAAGTGTGGGAGTCTGCTACCGACAATCAGATTGCATGGTCATGTGCTATATTAGTTTTGGACTGAGGCACACTTGTAGATCAGTTATGACTTGAAGGGGCTGACTTTGAGGATGAGGCAAGGAAGGAAATTTCTAGATGCATGATGTACTATACTTTTATGGGCTTACGAAATTCTTGGAACGATTTAGGTTTGATGCTCATTATGGTCATGGGTGCAAGGGAAAGGAATTGCTAGTATGCTTCTTTTGGAGTATTCATCTTCTAATAAGGCACAAGTCATTCAGCACGTATTGACCGTGCATAAAGGATTAGAGTAGGTAAATTACTCTCAAGAAGATTCTAGTGAGTTCAAGATTCATATGTGGTGTTTGAGGGTTCCCCGGATTTGTATATGGCTAAGATGTGAGATTTGCAATTGATGGTGCTGAGACTTGCGGTAGTTCTATATTATTATTGATTCTACATTTCAGTATCTGAGAGGTTAAAGAAACATCTTCAAATTCACAAAAGGTCTCTTCAGAGTGGGCATTTTGATTGCATTACTATTGGGGGATTAAGAGAAAATACAATGTCTTATGGGCCTTAGGATGATATGGTTTCATGTTAGGATCTTGAGGGTGAGCTTTGATTAAGGACCATAATGTACAAGCAAGGAAAA